TTTTTTCTTCCGTAGAACACAAAAGGAGATCTTTAGTGGAATGCCCAAACTGCTCTTTACAATACAATGAAAACTGGGCTTTCATGGTTAAAAAAATAAATAATAAAAAAAAGTTATAAATGCTGCATATTCTGAAGGCATATGATAGCTTTTTTTTTGAAGAACAGACTAAAATTTAAGTTGTTATTCATTTAAAATATAGTGTTCAAAATGTTGCTTAGCAGCAACTTACAGTACACTTACATTGTATGGAAAAGCGCAACTTGTATATTCTTCAATGAAAACACGGTAACACTTTAGAATAGGGAACACTATTAACTAAGAGTTTTCCCTGAACAAACTCCTAATTTGCTGCTTATTAATAGTTAGTAAGGTAGTTGTTAAGTTTAGATATGGTGTGGATTAAGGGATCTAAAATACGGTCATGCAGAATAAGGCATTAATATGTGCTTTATAAGTACTAATAAACAGCCAATATGCTAGTAATATGCATGCTAATAAGCAGCTAATTAATAGTGAGAATTGGTCTTTAAAATAAAGTGTTACAGAGAAAACAATTAATAAAAGTCCAGAAAACATGAACAAAGACAACAGGAAATAATGATAAGCAAACTAAACCGTCATGACACTCATTTCTCAATCTATCTTATTTTATTTTCCACAGAAGAAAGAAATTCCTACAGTTTTGGAATTACCTGAGGGTGAGTAAATTATAGAAAAAAAACAGTTAAATTTTTGGGTGAACTATCTCCTTAATAAACACTTTAGAAAATCATACGTTTTTTTTAAATCCATGATACGGAGTATTTGACAAGACTTTTTAATTTTTGGGTCCACTGTTTCTTCACTGTTTTCTCATTCGGCTGTGTGCTGCAAAGTTTATTTGTAGACCAAAAAAGACATTTAGACACCACAATAACAGTCTTGCCCATTTCGTCAGTTTATACTGTATATATATGCTCACAAACGCTGATATCAGCAATGTGCAACAGTACAGTTCATGACGCCTGTGGCACGCCACTGTTTACCCTCTGGGATGGGACAGAAGTGTGGTGAGCGTGCATTTGTGTACGTGCGAGCACGCATGTGCGAGAGTAGAGAGAAGGTGATGAGTGTAAAAAATGAGGGGGAATTTGTGACGTAAACAAGAGCCAGCACACAGGGAAGAGGGACACGCACAGACTCAAAGCAATCAACAGACACTGACCTACAGAAATACAGCACCAAATACAGTAGGCCTCATTATAAACCCAAAAGACTAAACTTCCCATTGAATAAAGCTGCAGGTCATTAAACAACTCTAATAAAGTGAAAAGATGGCAACTTTGCAAAATAATCAATCTTAATATAAAATTACTCTTCCTGGGCTGCTGATGAGAAAATGTGGTTTGGCCACAGATAATAGATAACATGAGTCTAACATTATTAAAATTGGTCAAATAGAAAGAGACAAATAAGCAAACACATGAGCAAGAAAGCAAACAAGACAGCAATAAAAAAGGTAGAAGGCAAAACAGAAAAAAAGAAAAAGAAAAAAAGCGGTGCATAAGAGATGCAGCACTCATGGGAGACGAGACAAAAAAAAAAAAACTAT